GGAGGAGGAGGAGGAGGAGGAGGAGGAGCTAGCGAGAGGGGCGACGGCGGAGGCGACCTCAGCAACAGGCATTTCCCCAAATGGGAGTGGGAACAGGTGGCGGGGGAGCGGGCGGGAAAAGTGGGTGGGCTGGGGCGGCGATAACCGCCATCCGCCGGATGGACGCCAGTCCGGCAGGATCGCTCTTTACCCTCAGCCGGGGGGTCGAGGCTGGCACGCCAGCACCCGCGCCCAGCCGGAGCGATGCCATTCACGGGTACAGCAGCCGCACACAGCCACGCACAGCCACGCACAGCCACGCACAGCCGCACACAGCCACGCACAGCCACGCACAGCCACACACAGCCATACACACACACACACACACACACCCAGACTGCCATGGAGAGGTCCGCCAAGGAGCACGAGCGCGGACACGCGAGACGCAGCTTGTCAAACGGCTCTCCAGACATCCAGCCTCGGGTGAGACCACCTTCGATGTGCGGGCCACAGGCCTCCGTCTCTCCCCCCCCCCCCCCCTCCGGACTCCATTCCGCCCTCTCCGGGGGGGAAACGGGGCCGGGGATGGGGGGTGGGGGTGGCGTCTACGTCTGGCGGTCTAGGGATTTCCAGAGCCGGTCATGCCGCGATGGCCGCGTGATTCTATCCTCCCGTTTAGATGCCAATGTATATGTTCCTGCCCCACAACAGGATTACGACGGGCATGCGTGTGCGCGGGCACTCGCGCGTTTCCGGGTACGCCCGACGAGAGGGGGAGGCGCGGAAACCGGGCATGTTGTCGGGGCAGGGCTCACCCAGGCAAATGCACCCCCCCCCCCCATATCCCTCCGTCCCCCTCAGACCCGGCGGCACCCACCCCCCCACACCGACGTCCACAGGTGCCAGGAGAGCATCGGCTATTCTTGGTGAAAATCTATTATAGACCAGAGGGTACGATAACCATAACAACAGGGCAGCGGGGGAGGGGGGGGGGGGGGGGGGGTGTGGGGGTGGGGGGGGGGGGGGGGGGGGGGGTAGGGGGGGGGGGGGGGGGGGGGGGGGGCCGGGCCGGGCCGGGGCTCCGTGCTGGGCTGCGATTGACCATGGTTCAAATGGGCCAAACAATGGCAGGTGGCGGCTGACCCGCACCGTTAGCCAGGGGCACTGCACTCCAGAGTCCCTTCGGATGCAAATGTGTTGCGTCCGTGCGTCCGTGCGCGCGTGCATGTGTGTCTGTGCACGCGTCAACGGCCCCCCCTCGTCCCGGCCGCGGGTGCTTGATCGGTCTTCGCGGCAAGTGCCAACGATCGGAACCTTGAACCCCGCCCAAGCCCTGCCCACATGTCGCTGGTGGAGGCGGGGGCAAGTGCCACCCGCTGAGAGACAAGCCCGAGACATGTGCATGGGAGAGGGTGTCCGAGTCGTCAGGGGGGGGGGGCACATTGGGTGTGTGGCATCGAT